AAATAAATAATAATAAAATAATACAAAATAAAAAATGATTAAAATAATCAGATAAATAATACATCTAACAGTACAGTACTATAGTGAGTAGAAAATTGTAGTTATGTAATGTTAAAAAAGTAATATATTCAAAATATTATTTTCAAATAATATTTAATTTAATTATTTATGAATAGGGACTTTATACATTAAAATATCTAGCTGCCTTTTAAATTTTAGGATAGTGGTCCCTTGCTTTACAAATACAAAAATGACAAATAAATAATAATAAAATTTTTTTTAAATAAATAATTTGGTTAAAAAATATTGTATTAATATAAATAAAAAATGTGGATTCAAATCAAATCAAATAAACAAATATTACATTTAACAATATAGTTTAATATAGAGTAGAACATTTAATAATGCATTGTAAAAAAAATATATATATATATATATTTTCCAAATAATATTTAATTAAAAAATTTAGAAATGGGGTCTTTATATATTAAAATATCTAGCTGCTTTTTACATTTACGATGGGGGTCCTTCGCACAATAATGATCATATATAAGGTTCTGTGGCATCTAAAAAACGTAAAACTCCTGTCTAACAAATTAAAAAAAATATCATGCTTGTCCTCAATTTCATTCAGGATGAAGAGCTGAAACGGAAGAAGCGAGAAGAGAGACTGGAGGTGATCCGACACAATGCCCAGCTCAGATATGCCATGAAGAGAAAAGTGAGTGCATGAATAGTGGGATCATTTTTTTTTTTTTATCATCTTTACCTGGAAATAAACAAGGTTTTATGATTTAGTTCTTAATTCTTCACAAATCATAAATAATTTGAGTATGGATCTGCTATTTCAGTTGTTAATGGATATTACATTTACCCAATAAAAGTATCAGGTTGCTTATTGTACCTTTAACAGGCCAGTGAAGAAGATGAGGCTGTAAAATTACCCTTCAGAAATCATTCTAATATGCTGATTTGCTGCTCAAGAAACATAACCTTTCCTTTAATGTGAAAAGGAAATAAGCATAATGAAAGGTCATTCAGCATGTCTGCTAGCTACTAAAGTAATGTTTTAGACATCAGGTCACACTATCATTGTGATTTAATGTAAATATCATAGTGTTGTATGGTTGCAGAAGTCGATTGAAGGCCAAAAATCTGATGTACATCAAACAGATCCTTTTTGTGCTGGAGGGACTTGTGCGCACACTCGGAGGTCAGCTGTGTGGCAGATTGTTTTGTTTGTGTATTTTATCTTGTTCCATCTCATTTTATCTAGCTGATTTATTGCTGTGGTTTCCTGTTAACAGGTAAAGTGGGTCAGAATCCGAACGCTCAGTCCTGCCAACTAGGTAAACAAACACAACCGGCACGCAAAGTACAAGAAACCTTTCACAACTAAATGTTTTCGTCCTTCATAAAGTGTTCTGATTTTGAATTCCTTTACACAACAGGAAGCGAGCTGCTGACCATTTTTAAGTCATGTTTTAGTCATTTTTAATAATCCATCTTAAACATATTTTGTTTCAGAGCCAGTGCAACATTTCTCATTCTCATTTGGGTTTAAGTTTTCGTTTTTTCATCAAATATTTCAATTTTATTTTATTTCAGCTTTATTTCAATTAACAATAACAACACTACACCAACTTTATTGATTATTATAAATAATATTTATATATAAATATATAGTATGTATATATATGTGTGTGTTTATTTTAGTGTACTACACAGTTATTTATATACTATATTATATTATGAATATTTTGAATGAGCTCTTATTTTCATTTTTAAGTTTAAATACATTTAAATTTTTTTATTTTTAGCTTTATTTCAATTTTAGTTTTATTCATTTTAGTAATTTAACTTAAACTTATTTTATTTCAGATAGGTGCCAATGCAGCATTCTCATTTAGAATTTGTATATATATATGTATCAATGTTACTGTATATTTATATATTTATAAAATGACATTGGTAGAGCCCTTAATGTGGTTTAATCTATCTTTTGAAGGTTCAGAAATATTTTGAGAAGAGCATGATCAGCCAAAAAGTGAGTATGAGAACACATTTATGACACATAAAAAAAAAAAAAAATGAACACAAACACACACAGATGATCCATGTGTTGTGTAGCTGTTTGGATTTGTGGAGAAATACGAAGGCAGTGGTGTAAACATACACTCCGGATCTAAGAACAAAGAGAACCGTCGCATAGAAGGACTGGGACGCTTCCTGCAGACGCTTCAGAACAAACCTACAGGTACAGTCCGGTCTCAGTCAACACTTACTTCCTCATTCACCCTGGTTTTACACAGAGAAGCAGTGTGGATTTGATGTTCTAGATGCTTCAGATCAGCAGATGGCAGTAGAAGACAAACCAATCATGGCTTCTCCAATGATGCTGGTTGAAAGTTTCCTGTTTGCCCTCACTAATGCCAACAAAGACGGACGAGTCATGATACAAAGGCAGGGTAAGTGAATATTTGATCACATGCACATGGATACACATATGAAATTGTCTCTCACACATAATTCTCCTTTCTTCTCCAGCATGTCTCTCTCAGAGCAGTCTGAAGTTTCTCTTGCTGAACGCCGCAGTTCACTTTGCACAGATCATCCAGGAGTGCAGGGCCGTGATCATCGCTGGGGGAACCATGCAGCCCGTCAGCACACACACACACACACACACACAAACTTCACATGCACTGTTGGACACAGTGACACAGCTGTCTCAGTTACATAACTTTAAACGGACATATTAAAGACTCTCAGTGTGTAGAAGAGCATGCTGAAAGCAAGACTGATTTTGTATTCATTATTTTGCAGATTGCTGATTTTAAAGAGCAGCTTCTATTTTCCGCCGGGGTCACAGAAGACCGTATTTTAGAGTTCTCATGTGGTGAGTTTATGGTATTGTGCATATTTCTTCCTGCTATCTTTTGCAGTGTTGCTTATTATGTGTGTAACTCTTGCATAATGGTTTCAGGTCATGTCATACCCCCTGAGAACATCCTACCCATAGTCCTTTGCGCCGGCCCCTCTGGACAACAGTTGGAGTTCACTTTTCAAACTAGAGACACGCCACAGATGGTAAAACTTACATGAGCAAATTAAAACTACCACAGATGGTTGCAAGCAAACACGACAAAAATCTGCTCGTCTTAAATTATGGCCACAAAGTATCATCAGTTGTACACTTATATAAAGTATTGTTTTATTTTGACAAACTTAACTTTAAAACGAGAACAAATATTTGTAAATGGCATATGAAAGCTTGTTTTTCATTGGAATTAAGTTGATTTTTGTGAGCCCATTTGCAGATATTTGTAATTGTAGATAATTTTGTATCATTATTTCACTTCATTTTAAAGGGGTCATATGATGCTTTTTTAAAGATCATTATTTTGTGTATTTGGTGTAACAGAATATGTTGACATGCTTTAATGTTCAAAAAACACATTATTTTTCAAATACTGTACATTATTGTAGGTCCTCTATGCCCCGCCTCTCTCAAACGCTTCGTTTTCTACAAAGTCCCTCCTTCCGACAAGCGCAGTCTGCTCTGATTGGCCAGCTGACCCAGTGCATTTTGATTGGCCGAACACCACAAGCACTGGTCGGAAACGCCCCTTACCATAATCGCGAGCTTCATCTTTCCCACATAGTGGGGTAGATATGTGGGGGCGTGTTAGAATGAGCCGTTTTAGGGGGGCGTGGCAGAGTCTTAACTTTGATAAAGAATATCTCTTTGGTTTTGAGACTTTAGTCTTTGCAACTTCAGGGATCTTATCTATGCACAATCAGCTTGTAACACTCCAAAGAGAAAGGAAAACTTGAAATCGCATCATATGACCCCTTTAATACATTTATCAGAAAACAAGACTTCTCATCTTATGTCATTTTTGCATCTACCTTGATTTAAGAATTTTTAGACATTTGACAAAAATACTGAGGAAGAACAGAGCAGTACAAATGTGATCAGAAGGAGCAGTAAAAATGATTTCATCAGCTACTTTTTTGTGTGTAAATTTAATTAAAAAGTAACATATTGACGTATTGTATTCCATTTAATTTAATTCCTTACATTCTCTTAATTTGGTCTTAAAAAAGTTTTTAAAAAGCCTTAAAAGTAGTGAAATTTGAAAACAGTTATTTTAAGTTGTAATAATATTTCACAATATTACTGTTTTCACTGTATTTTTTGGTCAAATGTAGCCTTGATGTGCATAAGAGACTAAATAACACAAAAATATGTTTAGCATGATCTTTATACCTGTTACCTATCTCAGATGGAGGAGACGGGCCGTGTTCTCTCAAACCTCTGTAACATAGTGCAGGGGGGCGTGGTCTGTTTCTTCCCCTCCTACGAATATGAGAAGAGGATTCTGGGACACTGGGAGAGTACTGGCGTCCTACAGAGGCTAGAGTCTAAGAAGAAGGTACACAAACACCAGTACTACCGTGCCAAGTCAATTTATACATGAGTTAAGATGCTCTCTGTGTGTTTCAGATTTTCCAGGAGCCGAAAAAAGCCAGTCAGGTTGAGCAAGTGCTCAGTAACTATTCCAAGTGTATACAGGTGTGTTAGTGTGGGAATATTACTATATTAACAAGTAAATTAGAGCAGGTCTGTCTGTTTATATCTACAGTAAATGACGGTTTGTTACGTTAATGCAGCGCTGCAGTAATGCCGGAAGTGGCCAGACAGGGGCGCTGCTATTCTCTGTAGTAGGAGGGAAAATGAGTGAAGGAATCAACTTCTCTGATGACCTGGGCAGGTAAAACTGCGTTCAGAATCGCATGCCATACTATTACTGCAGTATACTGTAAGCAGTATGAATAAATACCAAAAATGTGCCATATACAATGAAGCACACTACAACAAGACAACAATATAGAATATTTCACTGCATATACAATATAGTATATATTACTATTATTTTCATTAACTGATACTAAGACTATTAAAAAATATATATTTATACTTATTTCAATTAGTTATATGCAAAATAATCTCGAGTAGTTGCAACATTTAAATTTTTTAGTTTAAGTTGAAGTACTAAAATTACTAAATCCAAAAAATAATGAAAATAACTAAAACTAAAAACAAATAATAACATAAAAAAATTTCAAAATATAAAAATAAAAACTACCGTATTAGCCCGAATATAAGACGACCGCGTTTTTTCAGATGTATTTCCAAGAAAAAAATATCGTCTTATATTCGGGACAATACGGTAATTCATAATATCAATAAATACTTTATTATAATAATGATACAAACATTTTAAAATTTAACTTATTTCAATTAGTTGCAAAGGCAACTTTTCCATTTTTTTTCAGTTTAAGTATGAGAAGTTTTTGTTTTGTTTTAAGTACTAAAATGAAAGTAATGAAAATAAACGAGAACTGAAATAAAAATGAAAAATGAAAAAAATCAATAAAAATACTAAACAACACGAAAACAACTCAAACTTAAACTAAAATGAAAATAAATGTAAAATATAAAAACTACTACTAATATTACTGAATGCTATATTATATTAAAATAATGCTTGATGCATACTGCTTCACTTACTGTTTTGTAAAAAATAGTATTTAGTGTATACTGCACAGTATGTAATAAGTAATATGCTAGAAATTAATGAACAATAATCATTGAATGAAACACTTTTGTGCTTTTGTTTAGATGTATTGTTATGGTTGGAATGCCGTATCCCAACATAAAGTCACCGGAGCTGCAGGAGAAGATGGCTTACCTGGACAAGAACATGGTGAGACTTCCTACAGGATGATGCATTTGGGAAGAATCTGCCATTTCTAACTCTCTCCCTTCTGTTTCAGCCTCACGTTGGTGGTAAAAGTCCTGGGAAGGCACTGATTGAGAATCTGTGCATGAAAGCTGTCAATCAATCTATTGGTAGGCGGAGCCCCGTACTCCTGTAATTCAATGCTGTGTTTAACAAAAGGCAAACAAATGCAGATTGTAATACAAACAGACATTGTCTGATTTCAGAATAGCCTATTAGCATAGTACTTTTATTATTTATTCCATTTAAGACTAGTATGCAGTCTGCTTTCTAACAGTCTTTGAGATGAGTAAGAGCAGAGTACAGCTCAGTTTCTCTCCTCACCTCACGCAGGTCGTGCGATCCGTCATCGTGGCGATTACGCATGTATTGTTCTGTGTGATCACCGGTACGCCCGATCAGGCACGCTGCAGAAACTTCCAGAATGGATTCGATCCAGCACGCACACACACACAACATTTGGTCCCGCCTTCGCCAGCATCAGGAGGGTAAGTGTACTGTGCAGTATGTTGTATATACTGCCTACTTTTTTTTTTTTTTTTTAATTGTACATTAAACAGCATGCAACAAATTCAAACGGTAGTATAGACCCTTTTTCTGTTAGTAAACATTGTGACGTTTTTCTGTGGGCGGAGCTTAGGTGGAGGCAGAAAGATTCCCCTGACCACTTCACTAACGCTAGCTATGAAGTTTGTTTTGATTTCTCAAATAGTAGATAGAATGTCATTGTGGCAGAGTGATAGACGAGCATGTGAAGTGCGACTGAGGGCTGGTGTGTCTCTCCAGCTGCGTGCTGCTTTAATGAGACAGACGTTCTCCAGCTGTGCTCTCTGTAAGCAGGTCTGTTCTAATGACAGGAAGTGGAGGATGACAGGATGAGGATGATTCGTTAGCCGTATGCTCCCTGTCTGATTTTTTATTTGATTCTGCAGTTCTTCCTGGAGAAGCGACAGAGACCGCCGCTCTGAGGACATCGACTCGACAGCGCCGAGCCACGTGTGTAAAAATACTACGGTGTGGAATGTTGTTGGACTACTCTGGCCTTGTGAATTATTGAGGCGGAGTTCTGCCGCCTCTGTCCTCTGTGTTTCAGCATGAGTTTTTGGTTCAGTTCTTAACTTTCATTTAATTAAAGCTGATTTTTACAAGACTGGATTAGTTTGTTTGTAATCCAAAATGTGAAGCCAACAGACTCGCTCAGATGGGCTAAAACAATCATAGTAGATTAGAGTTTATTTTCTGTACTAAAGACACTAATACCAGAGATGTTTTTGAGCATGTAAAACAAAATATAAAAAAATACAACCTGCTTTTTACATTCTTTTTTTTCCTTGAGGAACATTAGTTATTTCACCATCAACTTCATGAAGTCACATTATTTTGAATGAGCACGAGTAGTGAAAAATGTTCATCAAAAAGAGCAATTAATTATTAAAGTCAACATAAGACAACCATAATGTGAGATTTACGAGTTAAAGTGGGTAACATTAATATTTACCAATCGCTTGTGTGGACGAGATGACATCAGATGAAAAGGAAAGTCATTTAAAAAATGGAGGAAGTTACTAAATTTTGATGAAAGGTTACAAAGAAGCATTTTGAAATTGTTTATAAATCATGCACAAATGATCAGAAACACAAATGAGGCATGCTAATAGGCTGAATTTAGAGTCAAGCTGACTCAATCCAATTGTTAAAATGTCTTAACTTTTGCTAGTCTGGTAAATATTAATTCAAAAGGATGTTAAAAATGGCAGCTGATATCACTTCCAGTTCATTCATCATAATGGAAATGGAAGGTACAGTCAAGCACATTGCATTATGGGATACCATGTGCCCTGCTGCATACTGTAGCTCATCCAGGAAGTCTATGCATATTATGTACAGTGTGCATCAGAGATAGGATTTTTCCATATTTATATGGATTTTTGTATTTTGTAATGGACTTTTTTATTTTTTAAATGGTTGAAAAAGTCGAAGCTCTATAGTTTAACATTTGAAAGCCAAGAAATTAAGTATTATACAGAAATTAAATTTTTATTAATACTGTAATTTTTCTGTTGTTCTGTAAATTATACTTATATATTTGTTTTTTATTTTGCAGTAATAATAGTATCATTGCAGTAGTATTATATAATGTTTAATATTATAAAAATATTAAAGTTTACATTTTCAAAATTTTGAAATAATTTGCACTGATGAATCAAGCACAGATGACCAAAAATGTGCATGAAGAATGCAAATAGTGAATTTGGGATCATGTTGACTTTAATAATATAATCTTTCAGACTATAAGGGTTTTCATGACATACAGAACACATCGTCTTACACTTGTGTTAATTCACTGACCTTCAGGTTACAAAACAAGAGACCAAACGTCTCACTCGACACTCACTCCACAGCTCTCCTTGGAGAGACAATATCTCCAGACCCTGTCTATGAGGATTTCAACTCTCCAATCTTTTGAGTTTCGCACTCAAATCTGGGTTGCCATGGTTACGCCTCCCAGTCATCTTCATCGTCTGCGGTGGGTTGCTGTGGCGCTGGAAGGGGCGGGATCACATCTGACATCCTGGCGAACGCGCCGCCGGAGCTGGCAGGTGCTTCGGATGAGTCTCCAGCCGCCGGGCCCTTACCAGAGATACCTGTCAAATATTCACAGTGAAAAATGCATCAGGTTGGATTACAAAACTGAGACTGAGGCGCTAAAACGAACCTTTCCTGCGCATGGCCAATTTATTGAAGAGGTCAGACATCAGGTCTCCACCGCTCACCGCTGCCCCAACTGGAAAAAAGACAACTGTTAGGTTAAGCAATAGGAAATATAACTGTTTTTTTTTTTTTTCAATGAATTTTACACGTTACATGGCTTCAGAAGACTATATATAACTACGAGGATGTACAAAAATGTATCAAAAGTGACAGTAAAGATATTATAATATTACTAAAGAATTCTTTTTTTTTCAAATGGAATCAAAGAATCCTGAAAGAAATGTATCACAGTTTCTACAAAAATATTGAGCAGCACAACTGTTTTCAACATTGACAATGATAAGAAATGTTTTTCTTAAGCAGCAAATCAGTATATTAGAATGATTTCTGAAGGAACATGTGACACTGAAGACTGGAGTAATGATGCTGAAAATTCAGCTTTGATCACAGGAATAAAATACATTTTAAAATATGTTCAAATAGAAAACAATTGTTTTAAATTATAATACTATTTATAAATATTACTGTTTTTATGGATTTTGTATCAAAAAAGGCAGCCTTGGTGAGCTACTTTGATAAACAGAGACATTTTGCAGAACCAAAGATTTTGAAGCCAAACAAGTCATATACAAGTCATACGGATCACTTTTATTGTGCATTTTTCACCTTTTTGGAGACTCCACAGCATCCGTTTCCCATTAACTTTAATTGAAAAGAAAATAGCAGGTTGGATTTTCTGCTAAACGTCTCCTTTTGCCTTTGTTATTTTCTGCAGCAAACAGTGCATATTTCAGGAGAATAACAAGTAGCAAAGATTATTACATTACGTTCTTTCAAATCTTAAGTGTGGCATTTACTCTCACCCAAGTCCTAAATCATTAGTAATTACACCTCTCAGAGATGGCCAATTCAAAAGACCACAAGGTTTATCCATTGATAATATATCAGTGAAGAATTTGAAATATCTGAGACTTTGTGAGTCCAGAGTCAGTCGATTTCAGAGCAAATGTCAAGCAGATTTAATGAAAGTAAATTTCTCTTTTGACCTTTCCAAATACCACAGCGCTCTTCCTTATACCAGCGATACTGAAACACAATTAATTCCTCTTGCTTTAAAAATGAATACTCTTGTAAACTTAGTATGTTCATCTTGCAAAATAACTGCATGTACATTTTTACATATATTCTGGATTGTTGCCAGGGTGTACCTATGTGGTTACTAGGATGTTGCTTACCGGTCCAAAGTTTCTACACATGGCTTGGCTTTTTAATGCTTCCATTAGCAAACACTAACAAGTTTCTTACCCTAATAACAGTTTAGCTAATGTTAACACCCTCTAATTGACCCTGTTTGACAGTATGCTTTCAGTACAGAGTGTAAACACTGCTGGCGTCTGACCTTGCTCTTGCTCCTTCTGTTTTTTCTTCTCCATCTTGCGCCCTTTTACATTGCGGAGGTTTGCTTTGCCGATACCGCCGGCATTTCGGATTGACTCCAGCAGACTGGCTCGGCCGTCCGACGGCTGTAACACCTCAGTAGGGGCTCTTTTCACTATACCTGTATATATAATATATAAATTATATACACTAATTTATATAGATTATAATATAAAATAAATTATATACACTATAATTTATATATAATTTAACACTATATAAATTCAGCTTTGCTATCAGAAATAAATTACATTTGAAAATATATTAAAACAGACAACAGTCATTTTAAATTGTAATAATATTTCACAATATTACTGTTTTTAATGTATTTTTGCCTAAATAAATGCAACCTTGGTAAGCATTAGAGACTTACTGACCACAAACCGAATGGTAGTGTATATGGACAAAAAAAGATAGTTTTTTTTGTTGTTGTTGTTTGTGGGCAGAAGACAGAAATATAATTGTGTTATAGTTTTAAATAAATGTAGGTTTTGAAAATGTAACCACTTTTGCAGTCTGAAAACAGCTAGGTGCAGGAAAAAAAAAAACACTAATCACAACTGCACATGTAAAGAGACCACTTACAGTTCCCTATGCTAACTCTGCAATGACATACTGCGCTAAAAAGACTCACCAAGTCAATAAATCTGAAAAATGAATCTTTTACCTGTGGGAGGGGCTTGACTTGAAGGTCAGCGCTGTACATGAGGTCATCAGCGATGCCAGGTAAGTCAGGCAGGTAAGACGGCACATCGATCTCAGGCACTTGCCCCAGGTCTGGCACATAGAAATAATTCTCTGCAGTCTGAGAAGAAAGCATGAAAGTGATATTAACTGAGCTTGCATCCTGTTTTCAGCGTATCGCTTCATTATAGGTATGACTGAGCGGCTCACCTGTCTCTCTAGCTGCTCTCTCTTGGTGATCGACAGCGGTGCATCAAACGGTTTATCTTCCTTTTCGGTCTCTAACGTGGTGTGTGTTTTAGTCACGGCGCCCGCCAGAGGGTCAAGAAACACATATTTCTTATAGCTGAAAATACACAAACATGCACAGCGATGATTATATGAGCATTAATAAGGTTGCATCGGCAGTGCAGCATTCAGTCAATATGTGTAGGTGTTTGTGTACTCACAGGTTCTCTGTAGTGTTGAACAGCAATAAGGAGCTGACTGAGTTGACATTTCTCGGCAGACTTCCCAAACCCTCCTCTGTCTCATGCTCAGAGCGCTTCTTAGTGTTTACACATACTGGCAAATACATCAACTTCTCCTATAAAACACATTTATGGGTCATTTCATGAAACATTTTTAACATAAATTTGTGTTGATAGTTTTATATTGTAATTTGACACTTCTTAAAAAAGATAATTTGATGCAGATTTTTTCACAGATATCCTCAATGAACAATTTTTCAATTAATGATTGTTAAGCGCTTGCATGGTTTTTAAAATTGAGCTGAAAGCTGATTGGTTGCCTCTATGACGGAACTATCCAATGGCATTTTTTAATTCAGTTAACAAATGGATAAAGAAAAGGTTTTGACAAAACAACAAAGAAAGCAATTGATAAATGAACAAAGAAAAGCAAATGGTTTTTCAAAATGCTATTTAAAATGTGCATTTAGAAATAACTTCTAATTTACTATTTTATTTAAAAACATTTAATCAATGTATTTTTCAATTTAAAATGATTTATTAATGCGAGTGTGTGTGTGTGTGAGAGAGAGAGTGTGCGTGTGTGTGTTTGTGCAAGTGTGTGTGTGTGTGTGTGTTTGTGCGAGTGTGCGTGTGTGTTAATTATCTTATTTAACTACATTTTAAAGCATGAATTTAACAGTTTTAAACATTCCCATTTATTTTGCCATTTAAAAATTATGTATTATTTATTTAATTACATTTTAAATCATAATTTAAATAAAATGTTTTAAATATGCCTCTTAATTTGTCCATTTAGAAATAGATTTATTTATTTAAATTTTTATGTTTTAAATATTACATCGACAACTTATTCCTTCATTTTATTTGCGAATGTCTCTACTAGTGTTCCATAAAAATCATAGCAATAGAGTTGATATTTTATTACTATTCCAACTAAAAAAATATATTAAAAAATTACATAAAAATAAAAAATTATTAAAAAGAGGAGCGACGTCTGTACTGTAGTGACAGATTATGACAGATTTTTTTGGTTTATTAAAAAAAAAAAAACTTTAATTTATAAGGGAATATATAGAGAGAATTTGAAGACAAAATGCTAGCTCATATTTCCATTTATTTCAATGATTTTTTAAAAACAAAATATGTGCCATATAGACTTGAAAGAAAGATAGCAGGAGTAGGAGCTAAAAAACAAATGACTGAATTTGTTCACCTGGAGGGCCTTGTCATCCAGTGGGCGGAGTTTGCTCTGAACTTTAAAGCGAGGCCGCTTTTGGGAGGCGGGATCTACTGCACCTGTAAAGATGGACGAATATTCCTGCAGTTTTTCTGGAGCAGGGTATTTGGCACTGGAGAACACCTACACAAACACATCAGACATAAAACCACTCAGTACAGTGCAATAATTATTAATTAGTCAATTAGTTGGTGCTTTAATCCAAAGTGACTAACAGTACAATTATTATAAGTACAAAATTTCTACAGCTCAAACAGTACAGCAGTCAAAATCTTAATGGTCCGAAAAATAGGCTTAATGTTCTTAATTCTAAATTCTAATTAATTCTTAGTTCTCAGACCTTTCTTGATAAGTTTTAATGATTAGCTTATGCCCAAGCTACAACTCATATTCACTTTCTGCTCCAGGCATATGTTGCAGAATAAGTTTCTCTTCTACGCTGTGTGACTGACTGTCAGATTCTCTGTGTGTCTGAATCATCTGCATCACCTTTGTGGCTTTCTTGCTTCCTTTGATCTTCTGGACTCTGGCCTGAGCCAGTTTGATCCGGTCTGTGACAGACTGAAGGTGTGCACGGTTCTTCTCCACGCTCTGAGACACCCTGTCAAAACCAAACCAAGTCAAACTATAACTGTAGGATACAGGTGAACACATTTAGATCAGAACTTCACTAAAGTGTAATCTGAAATTCAGGCCATTCTCAATTTCTTTTGTTGTTGATTAAAACGGTTTCACAATTAATCCAGTATGTTTGCTGGATGGTTAACTATTTTTACATGATCGACATTGCTAATTTCAATTTCAAAAATGACATTTTTAATCTGCCTATGACATATAAACTCATTCTGTTTTGCAGGTATTTCTGAATGACAAATTCTATGTAAATACTGCATTAAGTACAAATTTAATTTTGTATGTTTGATGTGCTATAAGAAATAAGGTTATAAGTGCATCATTGCTTTTTTAAATTTAACCAAGAAAATCCCATTGAGATATTGCATTCTCTTCTTCCAGAGAGCCCTGTAATAGACATATAATAATATACGTAATATACATGTACCTTACCATAAAAAAAAAGTTTGTCAGTAAGATGACTTTTTATTTTATTATTAGTTTTATTCAGCAAGAATGCATTAAACTGATCAAAAGTGACAGTAAAGACATTTCTGAAGGATCATGTGACACTGAAGACTGGAGTTGTGATGAAACTGAAAATTCAGCTTTGCATCACAAGAATAAATTACATTTTTAAATATATTCAAATAGAAAATAATTATTTCGAATTGTAAAAACATTTCACAATTTTACTGTTTTTATTGTATTTTTTATCAAATAAATGCAGCCTTGGTGAGCACAGTTGCGACAGCCGAACCTGGACGAATGAGAAACGCTTCAAGTAATATTTTCCAAACATCATGCTGAATAATGGTGTACTGCAGCACATTAGCAGATGAAACAGCGCGTATACTGTGACCTTGGTGGCTCTATGCCAGTGCCATTTGTCCTGGCTTGATATTGTAATGTCTTTTTATTACACCTATTGTAAGCCATCTGTGTTTACCAGCCGTGTATCTCTTTCGTTTGTCCATTCTACACCGTTTCTGTGGACAAACATTGCGAAAGGGAAAAAATATGCCTTGATTGCAGTAGGCAGCTACAGTATACGCCAGCCTGAAAACATCAAAAAAACGCAGCAGGAAGGAGAGCGTAATTGTGCATGTGTACAGTCCTATCATCACTACTGAGTCAGTGTGCTCCTCTGTAGCCTATGGCACTAAACTAAAAGAGACCCTCCATTAGAAACGGGGGAAAATGACAGAAGAATGACTAAAAGAGAAGGGGGGAAGGAGAGGCTTAATGTAGCTGACCTAGAAACGCAGTGCTTCACCACACACACACACACACATATGTTCCCTGGACCCCTACGTGCCATGTTGTCATGGTAACGCTGTGGATGGTTTTCCAGCCTGTTCAGCTGGAATTAGCATATTTGAGCACTCACTCCCTCACAACTGCATCTCATGCAAAACACACTTTTCATTGTGTTTCTCTCCTTTGTTATTTTGACACGGTCTAATCACGCTCCCTCCTTCAATAGCCAGGCGCAACAATAAGGACGGTCTGGGGCCGGTGTGAGGGGGTTTCGGGCCAGCGGACTGAGCTGTCACTTACCTTAAAGGACCAGTGCTGCGTCGCCACTACATCTTATGTTTATTGATCATGTACATGTGTTTTTATGCCTTGCACACATAAATATTTGCTATGTGTTATTCATCGAAAGTTTGTTAATTCTTATGATTTAAATATTGTTTGGGATCGATAAGATTTAAATAAGGATTTTAAACTCTCATCAAGGCTGCATTTATTTGATAATCTAAATAATAAACAGTAATATTGTGAAATATCATTACAATTTTAAATACCTGTTTTCTATTTTAATGTATTTGAATATGTAATCTATTTCTCTGATGCAAAGCTGAATTTTCAGAATCATTACTCCAGTCTTCAGTGTCACGTGATCGTTCAGAAATCATTCTAATATGTTGATTTGCTGCTTAAGAAACATTTACTGGAATAGAAAGTTGTCTAGCTTGTATTTGAACTAGACATCTTTTGTAACATTATAAATATTTTACTGTTGCTTTTGATCAGTTTAATGCATCTTTGCTGAAAAAAGTATTCATTTCTGTAAAAGAGCAGTACTGTATATATAAATGTATTATAATATATTACAAATTAACTAATAAATTATTTATAGCAAAAAAATTTTTGTAAAATTATTCTAAAAAAAAAATTTAAAAAAAATTGTTACATACAAAAGATGTTGCTAAAATAAATGTAAGTTCAGCAACATACATGCCAAAAATATTTTTCATAAAATCTATATCCACCTATTAAAAAATCCTTATTTTTGAGACCTGAATGGGCAACTCAAAAAGTAGCACTAATATATAACATTGGTGTGAACTGCTATAATATTATTGATTCTAGCCTCTTGAACTGTTGCATCTCTGATCTACACAAAAGCACTCTTTGCAGTATAAAAGAGTGTGTATAAATGTGTGTTCACCTATTGAAGATGTCTGTTGATATCGTTTCCAGGTACTGTAACGCATCAGTGATCTGATGCACAGCCTCTTCTCTCCTCAGATCCGGCTGGATGAGCGGTACAGAGTACACCTGTCCCTCCAGGTAACGTTTCTGAGTCATCCTACACATACACAGATACACACACCAAAGAATCATTCAATCTGTATGAGCAAATTGTGAAATATAAAGTCTTAAGTCATTTTCAATTATCTAGTGTTATAATTTGCCAAAGTAGTAGCTGATATGTGTGATGTGCTATACTTAAATATGACATTCAAATACACTGCATACTGAAGTTGGCAGCCCACATAATATTTATGCTTCAGTGGACACTGTATGGAAATGGAAATTTCATATCATGTGGGATTGATGCTTTTTGCCCCCGCAGATACATGGGTCATGTATCTAGATCCAATCTAGAAGAGTCCAATCTAATCCAGCAACATGAAGCACTAATCCAGCCTAAACAGAGGCTTAACCGAATGACAGTCACATGATGACTCGCACACAAGAGCCGGATAAAGTTGAATAAACACGGTTATGTTGTGTGTCGCAATGCAAACCTTTTAATAAGAGAATATAATAGTAATATGACAGTTATCTGAAACAAATCAGCTGATTACGACACTGATTCTCATTTGATATGCATAACGCGAGCGTCCTGCAATCACCGCTGAAGAAAACACAGCGGCCAAAAATATAAACGGATAACTACAAAATATCTATGAAATGCCGCTGTTAAGATAGAAAGGGAACACTTTACCTGACCATTTATTTGCCAAAAGCGCAAACGTTCGGCTGCTTGAAGGAGCTCAGTCTTTCAGGATCAAAACTTCCGCACTCTCAGATCACGTGACGCCTGACGTCAGCACGTAAACAACAGAAGAAAAACGCATAATAAAATAATAAACAAAACAAATTTAAAGTATATAATTTATCTACATATCAATATTGTAGGAATTATTAAAATATTTATTAAATGTCTATTAAAATGCTAAAACTGGCTCGTGTATGAGACATTATGACTTTTGAGCATCTGTTGTGTTAATAATTTCCACTTTTCATTTGTACTATTATTATCAGCGTGATCATTGTTATTGCTGCTGCTGCTGTTTTTGTTAACAATATAATTTGGCATTTATCATGATGTATGTCCTCGTGTATTTTCCTGTACTTTTGTGTGGGCCACAAGAATCTTAAAATAATTGTCAATGAATAAAACAGCTTTCGAAAGTCACTTCTCTTTGTGTGGTATATTTCATGTAGGCAACATACGAAAGTTGTGAAGGCGTTTTGATCAGTTTTGTTAGCAGCAAACCATTCCCATCATTAACGTTCTGATTTTTGCCTTGTTTTCTGTACTACTATTATTATTTTAATTGACGCTTTGGCATTATAGTGAGAAACAGTTATGCTGCTAATAATGCCCCCTGAAAATAAGGGGGAAAATTACTTTCATTTGGTAACCAAGCAACAGAAATTTAAATTTGCAGCAATAAAATAAGACACTAAGCATGTTTCATGTGTACATGCCATAGGGATGTTTTTTTTTTGAAGATTAAAAGGCATACAAAGATACATTTTATAATTAATGATTAATTATTAACAACAAATCTAAATGAACGATTAATATAAACAGAAAATAAATGAATAAACAAGCATATCCAGATTTCTTATCATTTATATATTTAGGAGATAAATAAACTTAAGCAAACTCTGATATTGCGCCTCATTACGTGCCCCCTGACGTCACTGGCGAACGCGGCCCCGCCCCCTTCAATCCTGTGTTTTGACATCCTCGCATCAGCACCACTCCGCGCATTCCTTCATGCGCGCTCTGGGCACGGAGGTGGAGGTGGAGGCGGAGGCGGGGGTCTCACTCTCTCTCTCTCTCTCTCTCGGTTCAGCCATTTAAATATCAACCCGTGCAACTGGTCAGGGGCACTGAAAACAAGACGCCCCGCTTGGATCGGATCATTTGTCGGCTTTTTCAAGAGAGCGTCGCACGGGATGTCGAGCCTTCTGGAGAACCCTCTGCAGGCGGTGCTCTATCTGAAGGAGCTCACCGCCATCGTGCAGAACCAGCAGAGTCTGATCCAAACCCAGCGATACCGGATAGACATACTCGAGCGCCGGCTGGAGGATCTAGCGGTTGAGAATGGGCAGCTCCGGGACTCCAGCAGCCATCACCGGCACCCTCCCCGCTATCATCCGCCTCCGCCCCCCCGGACCTCCAGCCTGCCCCGGACGCCCCCGGTCCAAACCAAGCAGCAGCAGCATTCCCCCCTGGACATGCAGCTCGTTCCTGCGGGACCCAGCAATGCCAGTCCAGACTCTGCTGATGAAGATGATAATGATGCTCAGGACCCCTGCTGTCGGTCCCTGGTCCCACAGACACCTGCCACCTTGTGCCGAGCTGTGGGACTCCCACGGGCATCTGAGTAAGTTCTCATCACACCTTCAACAAATCAGTCTTTTTCTGTAGGAAAACATGAGATCGGTGAGGCAGATTACATGCGCCATCAGGATTACATAACAGAGGAATTTCACTCTATGTAGGCCACAGTGAATATGCAATTGCACATCAATAATACCACGATCACACAAGCATGATGATTTGTATCAATAAAATCATTCAGCATGCTGTTTTTGAGATCATGTGGGTTTGTAATCTATCAGTGTTTAAATGCATGTGTGTGTGTTGCATTCTTAAATTAACAGCACACTCTAAAATGGAAGAAAAATGATTATAGGTCAGCATTAGTTCAGCTCTTTCCAGGGAAAAAGGTCTTGAGAAAGAGGTTGTTAATGCACCTGATTATTTTGCAGCAAGAATGCATTTTAAAAAGCACTTAAAAACACTCTACTGGCATGCAAACACACACACACACGCAGATTTATGCGTAAAGTGAGGCTTTAAGTGACATTCCCATAGTGCATGTGAAGTTGATCTGCCAGCTGGTATCTAATCCACAGTAAGAGAGAGAAAGAATGAGAGATTCAGTGTGTGTGTGTGTGTGTCGTCTATTACGACTGCTCGTCTGCTTCAGTGCACATCTCATGCTGCATTTGTAGAGCACTCCCTCTGTGTGTGTTTATGTGTGTGTGTGAACCCCACAAGCAAAACTGGAATGATACATTCCGCTCTGATTTGTTTAATGGTAGCATTACCTTATCCTTTAGGGGACAAACACTTAGTCAGAGAGCATATTACCTTGTTGTGTGTTTCTTTCTTATATGACAGAATACGTTTAGTTGTACTGTAAGTGTGAGATGCTCATTACCAATGAGTTTTGGGCCCAATTATGCTCATGCACGCAGCTTATTAAAGTTAATCTCACATCACTATCATCAACGTGTCTGGTTATGACAGATATATTTTGAGACTGTTGCATCTTTATTAGCAAATGAAACAGAGTGTTTGCAATAGACACTTTAATAGTTCACTAAAAAATTAACATATGCTGAAAATTTACTCACCCTCAGGCCATCCAAGATGTAGATGAGACCATTTGGAGATATTTAGAATTACATCTCTTGCTCACTAATGAATCCTCTGCAGTGAATGGGTGCCGTCAGAACGAGAATCCAAAAAAGTTGATAAAACATCACAATAATCCACAAGTAATCAACACCACTCAAATTCATTATTAAGACATTTTAACTTTAAACCATTACTTCTGGACAAAATATTAGTCCTCTATCCATAATTTTGTTTTCTCCAGTGAAAAACTTGTCTGAATCAGAAGAGAAATATGCACAGATTTCAAGCGAAAACAACCCAAATTGGATTTTGATGTGAGAGGACAACAGGGGATGGACTTTTTAACTGGAGGAAGCGTAACTGTGGATTAAGGGCTGGTATTTTGGTCAGAAGTGACTATTTAAAGTTAAAAAAACATCTTATGTCGACACCCTCATGTCGTTCCAAACTGGCATTCTTCTGTCGAACATAAAAGAAGATCACAAAAATGTAGTGATGCACCATTTTAAGCAAGAAAGTTGCTGGGAATTTTACATACAAAACAGAATATTATGTTAATAATGAATATTACATAATCACAATAGCAGGACTGCAAGGAAGTGATATGCAAATATGATTATATTGATAGCACTTCACGTTCTCATGTTATGCTGGAGTGTGAAACAAACGTATTTGATGTGCTGTCAACAAAGAAAACTCATCCTGAGCTTTGAACTTCCCTGGACTCCTAAATTAGAGACTGAAGTGTTTAAAATGTTCACTTAATCAGGAAGGAGTTGTGGATTTCTGAAAGAATTGTGAGCAGCCATTGCTTTGTTATAGCCAGGATGAACTGTTCCTCCAAGACTTCATTGAAGTTATTAAGAGGCTAGTGGTTCTTAACTGGTAGGTTTAAACCTAAAACCGCAGGTATGTTCTGTTTGTAGAAATCTTTCTGAGTGCAAAAATCTTACCCGTTTCATTTATGTATGACTGACAGATGTGGCTCAGTTTATTAGTTAGTATATACTGAAAGTGCGTTATCCAAATGAATGCAAGTTTTATATGCAAATACATAAATATTAAATTTATGCCTAAATACTGTTTGAGTGTACTTCTGAGTGCCCAATAGTCTGGATTCAGAAGCAAACCCAGTTGAGAATCACCACACTAAGCTACAGCAATCTCTATATGTGTTCAAAGAGCACAAATGAAGTACCATGCAAATAGTATTGCATTGCATTTAATTGCAGTAATGTGGATTTAAACCTTTACAGGAGCCAGACCGTCCTGCACCAGTTCTGCTGTCCCGCACCAGAGGCCCCAGAGGGAGACTCCCTAACCTGCTCCAGGTGAGGATGACACCTTATGCAACGAGCCAATCAGAAAAGAGTTAGTCTTTCTAAATGCCAAACAAACAAATTGTACAATATGAGCAAGTGATGCAGTAAGGAGAGTGTGAATCTACTTGTTTACCACAGCTGTCTGCATTGGTTAAGTTTCCCATCCTTGAATGGTAGTGGTTTTCTGTTTGCAGCCCCTGTTCTCTTGGCCTGAGGCATTCTGGGTGATGGGATTCAAGCTAGCGGAGTGTAAGTGTGTGTGTGTGTTTGTGAGAAAGAGAGTTAGTGCATGCTGCAGGTGTAGTTTAACCCTCATCCGTCCT